GAACTAGCCTTTAAGAAATTGCTGCTTGTCAGGTTTTAGGGAGGTATCAGAGTATCTGTAATTAACTGAGAAGGTTCCTCCCTTTCCCCACTACACAGCTCTCGGAAGCCACAATCCTTCTCATGCTTCAGCCCAAGAATGCATATCACAACAACCCGTATCACAGCAACCCGTATCACAACAGATTGAATGCAGAAGTAGACATTAGAATCCAACCATCTTCTATTAAATCAGATGCTAAAAAGAATTCCCAAAATTGTAAAACAGTGTCATTCTTAAGTAACTTTTAAGTTGAAAATATGCCTTTTTAAGTTAAAAATGTTACTTGTTAATGCAATTTTTATTAACTTAAAATGGGTTAACATCGATTTTTAAATTATTGGTTTTAATTTCTAACATAAGTAACCATAGATATAACCCACATAAACCAAAGCTCTTTGGAATCCTCAATTTTTAACAGTGAGCTCTGAGATCAAAAAGTCTGAGAACCACTGGCTTAGAGGAAGGAAAAGGAGAAAGGGAGAAAATTAAAATAGATGAGAGAATTGAGCCAGAATCTAATGGCTATCTGTACTTGAGGATGAGGGCTTAGAGATAAGTGGCAGTATGATTGAAGAGAAAAGGGCTAATTCAGGAAACATTTTGAAAGAGAACATGGTAAGATATGGTGACAGTTTCAGTATAGGGTGCATGAGAGGAAAAGCTTAAAGATAACTTGTATAATAGCTATGTGTTTGTAGTACAGACCTGGAAACTGATTATTGACGGAACTAGATCAGGTTCATGGATGGATGCTAATTTATAAATACTGTTTTTGGAGATTCAAGGAGGAGGGGTTAGTGATGGCTCAGGAGAAGGAGTAACCAGAAAGAGGCAGGAAGTGTTTGTGGAACAGAAAGCAAGAAAGGCAAGAGGCTTAGCAAGAAGCTGGTCATGGGCACGTAGAGGCAGAGGACGGGGTTTAACATCAAGCAAGGCTGTGTCTCATTTGAAAGACTTGATTCAGAAGTACTGTCTTGGAAGCTGATAAGTCAGTGGTTCAAGGTCATATGCTAGTGAACAGCCAGACATCAGCAACACTGCCCAGGGCTCCGCTGAGTGTGAGGAGGGTGAGAGTGGAGAAGAGGCTCCTCTCAGTGGCGCGCCCCTTGGTAATCCCCAGGGACGCTGCGTTCTAATGAAGTCTGGCTTTAAGAGGAGGGGATGATTAGATGGGAGATGAAAGCAGTGAGCATGGGCCAACTTGAAACAGTTTGATAATCAGAAAAATGAGGAAATTGGTTGTCTTGAAGGAATAGTGACTTCAGAAACAGTTAAGGCAAGAAAATTCCAAACAGAAAACTTTTTTTTAAGGTAAGAGAAATAGATGCACACTGAGTATAGATAGGAAGCCATGAAAACAGAAAATAGTAAGAAAATGGGTACTTGTTGTTAGAGTTGGTAGGAATAATGACCAACTTTGATATAGCATCTTAAAGATGTTTGGCTCATATGGTGTTTCTCACATGTGTTTTGAGCTTCATAACCTGTAAGAAGTGGGTTATGGCTACTTCCCTGATGAGGAAATTGAGGTTTAGAGAGGCTCAAGCAGTAAGGGGTCCAGGACAGCTTTAGTGGAGAGAAGTTCTTGCCTCTGAGACTGTAGGGGGAGGGGTTGAGGGGTGGTTATAAAGGGCTCAGATAGGTTTGACGTCAGGAGGGCGGTCACTGGGCAACCAGTCCCCTTGTGGACCGAACCTGCGTGTTGGCGCCCCAGATGTGATCCAACAGGTGTGAATAGTTAAAAAGAGCCAGGTGGGGAGTGATGGAAGAAACTCCCTTTGCCTTTCTCAACGTGATTATTCCACAGTGGTGTGGTAGCCAGGCTTCCCCAAGAACATGATTGGGAGGAATAGCACTCTCTCCACTTGCCTGATGGATTCCTAGGGAGGGCGAGGCCAGTTAATTCTCTCAGCTCCAAGTATAGCCATCATGAATTCTTTCACTCTTTAAATCTATGAGATGTAAAGCATTGCTGAGAGATGAGGCCTTTCTCTCCAGCCCTTATCCCACTGGTATGGGGTAAGGTGCACCCATTATTGATGAGTGATGTAATATTAACTACACGAATGAAAATAGCCTCTCCAGTTAGAGTGTCCCATTGAATTTTGGTTTGGGAGTCATTTTGGAATACGAATTATTGGCTCAAGGAAAATCCTGCCTGACTATTCAGATCTCAGTATTTGGTAATTGACTGCAGAAGGAGAAGGGCATTTTCATTTCATAGTCGAAGTATCGGTGTGAGCTCATTGCCAACTCACCTCCCCCAAGATGGCACAGTCACACCGCACCCAGGGGTCCTTCTGCCAGAACGAAGAGTTCAGTGAGAGAATGCTCTGTGTGTTAGGGAAGGAAAGGTGCGGACAGCTTGAAGTGGATTAAGAAATTCATACTGAAGGGGACTTCTGAGGACAAGGTCACTAGGATGACATTTCAGTAAAAAAGAATAATCTGAAAAGACAGTTGGGAAGCCTTTGGAAGAAAGAAAATTGCAGTGGCTTAATGGATTCACAAACTGGAATGAAGAACCCCTGTTCATTCATCCTGAACCTGGGTAGAGTTTTGGAGCTCTGGTAGAAACAAAGTCCAGGTTGAACAGTTAAGAGAACAAGTTAATGATGAACTTGGGTGTCTCTTGTCTATCCAGACATGAGGCCTGGAATGTCCACTGCTCCCCAGCTTGTCTGAGGACAGGAGGTTTGGATGACAAGTTGTCTTTGGAGATGTGTGTATATATATCTCATAGGTACACAACACATGTATGTATCTTTTAATGAGAACCTTGACAATCTGGGGTGTCTGTCTGCAGCTGCAGTGGGGATTCTGCTGCCCCCACCCCACAGGAACTGCACAGAGTGAGCCCCCAGTGAGTGGGGTGCAGTGGCCTCGTTTGCCATCAGGGTGAATTCTGTGGCGGCCCACCCTGTGCAGCTGCTCTCTCTGCCTCCACAGCAGCTGCCAACTGGGAGTCGTTCCTGGCTCTTTCCCCAGAGCGTTTCAGGTTGGACCAGAAGCTAGACATTCTGGGGCAAGTCACAATTGGGTAGCCGGACAGAGATTGTTTCGAAAGGAAGGGAGGTGTGGAATGGGGAAGCGGCTGAGTTCTGCCCCTCACCCACTTGTTCCCTTTTCCAGCTGCATCCTGTTCTCTCCCTCGAGTCCAGCTGCCACCTAAGATAAAGTCGCTGCCCTGCCTGAGCCTTGGGGCAAGGGAAGGCGGGACTGATCCTGTTCTGCAGTGGTTCAGCCCTTGGGTGTGCCTGGGTTGTACTGATTTGTTTTGGGTCCTGCCTTCCTTTCCCCAATGCCCATGTACCTGAAGAATCCAGATGTGGTTGGAGATCTCTGGTGGGAAGGGACCTTCTGTAGAGTGGCTTTGAGGGTGTGGTTGACACGCCCTGGGGTGGCTCCCTTACCCCAGTCACTGGCTTGGGGCTGCTGCTCCTCCATGTTATGAGTTTAACTCAGATGATCAGAAAGAGCAAGGCTTAACCTCTTAACCCAGAACAATGGAGCCTTGATTATTTTAGCCCTGCAGTTTTCTAGAGCAACCAAAAAAACAACCAGTCTGGAAACAGCCCTTCTTCTCACCCTATACCCTGGGAGCTTTGGAGAGCAAGCAAGGGGTAGAGTGCTTCTCCTTCCTTGAGGACACAGCCGGCCTCGTTTCCCTTGTCGCTGCCATCCTGGAGCATGACTTAGCAGAACTGATAATGTGGGTGAGGATAATACAGGTGGTCTTCTCAGCTCTGCTTACTTTGACTTTTGCAGCTGCTTAGAAAAGGCAAAGTTAGCGTTGAACGTTGATGGTGGTATTGCAGCTCCAAGGTAATATCGTGAATTTGTTCTTTCCTCATTTTATTTTTCTATGACCTCTTATCTATTATCTGCAGATTTCCACATCCAGGGAAAATGGTTTATGAATGTGTGGATCTGGGTACCTGGACAATTAACAAGAAACATTAAGATGAATGATTCTGTTATAGGTTGCATACTGTTAAGTTCTAACTTCATAGGCATGGTTTGCTTTATACATCATTTTCATTCCCTGATAAATGCTGACTTAAAACTGTTAGAATGAATAATGTGAATATCATTTTGTCAACCATAGTTAAGTTCCCACAGGCTTTGGATACAAGGTTAACCTATAGCTCAACATTTAAATCAAATCCAACAATAAAATTCTTGAGTGCAAGGAGCAAGATGACCAGCCTTAGGGAGACTAGAGGAAGGAACAGCTTCCAGACATGCCCTGTGACCTTCAGGTGAAGTGTGCTTCCAGCATTAACCTGGAGTGTGCTGAGAACACAACCGATTTTTCTATGCCTCCTCTTGGACAGAAGGGTATACTACTGGGTCCAGTCTCTTGGGACACGTTTCATTGGGACTTAAGGTCTTTGTTTCAGTGTGGACCCCTGATGATTGACCCTTGGGTTGGAATTCTGGTTTTGACTTTGAATCCTGTGGGGCATGCGCTGCAAGTTTCCACCGAAGTAGTCCTGCCCCTGTCTTGTTTCGTAAGAGCTCGGATTTCACATTTCCCCCAGCGTATAAGTAGCCAGCATGGCACTTGGGTTTTAGTTTATTTTAACCTCCTGTAGGCATTGGACACACTGTGCTCTCTAAGAGTAAGGTGAAGGTTGGCCTTTTTCTACCTTTGGTGTCTGAAGTATATTTTGCATGACATGGAAAAATTGCTGTCAGATAATGACACTGTTCTTCTGATTCAGGTCAGCTGTTTCACTCTTTGCACTTGGAGTTTCTCTTTTACTGTTTTCTTAACCTGTCACAGCCTCTTAATTAGAATGTATTGCTGGAGGACAGGCGGCATTGTCAAACTTTATGCATTTTTATAAAAATACACAAAAGCACCGGGCGAGCAGCTGTAATGCCGACTCCTCCAGATGCGGTACTGAAATTCCCCACAGGGGCGTCTTCATTGTTTTCTTTCTTTGTTCCAGAAGCAAAGGCTGATAATGAACCGAGCTGTTCGCCAGCCGCTCAAGAACTGTTGACAAGGCTGGGATTTTTACTGGGCGAAGGGATCCCAAGTGCCACACACATAACCATTGAAGAAAAAAATGAGACCATGGTAATGCCTGAGGAAGGCACTGTGCCATCCCTGCTCAGAGGACCAGTGAAGGCGTAGCTGTCTCCCCCTGCCTCCCTGGGTTGGGTGGGGAGGTCATTGTTCAGGCCAAATAAATCTGGGCCATCGTGTATTGAAATTTATTTCAACAGTTGGTTTGTGGGTTTTTGTAGTGGGAAGGTGGGGAGAAGCAGAACTTAGGAAAACGTCCACAGTAACCTTCCAGAGAGGAGCAGCTCACTGGATTAAAGTGGCTACAACCATCCCTTAGTAACGACATGACTTTTATCTTTATAGCACCATTCTTCTCATCTGGCTGCTATGGTATATGCTTTCCTGTGCTTTTTTTTTATCAGTTGAGATTTTGGAGGGTCAGTGGGGTGAGGAAAATATTTATAGGAAATGAGCAGACACAGAATAAAATGAGATCAAATGGATCATCTGCGAAGAGCACTCCCTGCCTAGGGAGCAGCGGCCTGGCTGCCCCTGCATCCCGCCATCCCTCTGAGATGCACAGGGGAGGTGTGAATAACAGCGAGGGGCTGGAGCCCCTGCCCCTCCCCCCAGGTCTCTGCGGGAGTGTCCTGTGCTGATTGAGATCGCAGTGGCCACCCGTCTCCTTCCCCTGATCGCAGAGCCCATAAATCTTCAGGAATTGAATCAGGTGGCAGTGCTTGTGAAACATGACAAAAACAGAGTTCCCAGATTTTCCATACAGAGGTCAAAGAACCCATTTGTCTTCTGCAGACTTCAAATGAAAGGAAGTCTGCCTGTTTGCTATTTCTGTTTTACAAATGCGCATTCCCACTCGATTATGTCTAAGACTACCCTTTTAAGAGAAAAGGAAGATCACAGTGGGAGGGGACAAGAACAAGGAGATTTCTCTTTTAAAATTTGGAAGATGGTGTATATATTAAGCTCCCTAGATTTAAAAAAGAAAAAAAACAGTTTTTAATGTTCCCGTTTTTAGTTTCATTGTTTTAGCGTCAAAATACAAAGGGAGGTGTAGCCGCGTCCTGTGAGAAGCCACACTAACTCCTCCTTGCATTCGTCTTGCAGTGCACAGCTCTGAGCCAAGGCATCAGCCCTTGCTCCACACTAACAAGCAGCACCGCGTCTCCCAGCACCGATAGCCCCTGCTCCACCTTGAATAGCTGTGTCAGCAAGACGGCAGCCAACAAAAGTCCCTGTGAGACCATTAGCAGCCCTGGTTCCACCCTGGAGAGCAAGGACAGTGGAATTATAGGTAAGAAGCTCACTGCTCGGGAAGGTCATGGCTCCATGCACTTCATCCAGAGTGCTCACCGGGCCCTTCTCAAGAGGGCGTTAGCGTGGTGGGTGAAGGTCAGCCTCGCCGGGGCCCTGGCCTCTGCAGACAGCGCCGGCTCCATGGACAGCTGAGAGCATGAAGCATTCTTTGGCTTTTACATTCCTTGGTGTTTATTTTATAGCACGGGGCTCATTGGGTAAAGAAAATTTCCAGATCAGGCCTGGCCCCTGAAGTTGCAAAAGCCTTCCCTGCTCACTGAGTAATTCCATTTGATGGGAGTGAGGCCTGGATAGGACACACAGCAGGGTGGCGAAAGCCCTGTGTGTTGAGACACCTTCCCTGCCCAGTCTCAAGGTCACTGGTTTTCCCACTTATTTACAGGTGTTTGTTCTTTCGTTTCTTATAATGGCATCTGACCGCTGTTTGGAGGCCAGAATTTTCTAAGGAAACCATACCTACGCAGTGTTGTTGTGCTGAGGGTCTTCTGGGGATGCAGGGTAGCCCTGACTCTAAGGCTGCTTGGCTGGGTGACTTGAGCAATATTGAATTGAGTTCTTTGCATACTTCTTTCCTTCTCAAAGGAAGTCAGAAGCAAGGATTTTGTATGTGTATAACAAACATGATGCTGTACATCAGAAATTAACACAACGTTGTGAAGTGACTATACTTCAATAAAAAAATAGCATTCTTAATTAAATTAATACATTTGAATTTTAAAAAGTAAGGATTCTGATTAGTTCAGTAGTTTCTGATTGATTAGAATCAACCAGGGAATTGAAGAGCCCCTTGTTTTTACATCCTGTCCCGGACAGAGTGTGTTTGGGTTTCTGCAGGTGGGCCTGGGTGCCTGTGTGTGTCAGCCTGCAGCCTGCAGCCTGGTGCCTTTCAGGTAACTCGCTCAGCCTCCCGTGCCCTGAGACCCGGCCGCACTCTAACACAGGTGCTGTCCTGCATGGCTCAGCTCCTCCCCGTGGCTGAGTGACGCACCTGTCTTTGAGGGATATTTTATGTTTTCTTACGGACTAAGCCCCACTCCCTTCCACATTAATAGGTAACCAAGTGCAGTGACGTCAGAGCTCTTTTTCTTCTGTCATGTGCAATTTCCTTCAAGTGTCATTTGACAATCCAAGCTGCAGGTTCATCCAGTTTGTGTTTTGGAGATTATCACAGAAGAGCTGTGAGGTTTCTGGGACTGGGTTGTGGGCTCCCTGGTGTGGCCCCCCCACAGCTTTGTGAGGGTCCCTCTGCCTGAGGAAAGGCCTCTTCCCTGAGTTTTTACTTGGATCAGGATCTTCAGTGGGGTTTTGTTTCATTTGTGCCATATTTGTCTTACTGAGATACAAGTAGCACACCATAATATTCTCCCATTTAAACCATCGAGTGGTTTGTGTTGTATTCAGAGTTGTGCAGTCATCACCGCCATCTGATTTCAGAACAGTTTTGCCACCCCAAGAAGAAACCCTGTACCCATGAGCAGTCACTATTTATTTCCCCCCACACCCTAGCCTGACTCAACTGGTCATCTGCTTCCTGTCCCTGTAGATCAGCTCATTCTGGACATTTCATATGAATGGTGGGTTGAGGTTTTGTAGCAGATTTGAATTCTTTTGCTTGGCTTCAAGCCCGTGCAGTGAGCTTACTCTGCTAATTTCCCATTCTCGCCTCTCTCTACCTTCCCACCTGCTGTTTCTCCTAACAGATTTTCCCCAGTGTTACTTCTGTTTTCATGCCCCATCCCTCTCTGAGCCGTCCACCACTGAGAGATCTTTGGCGTCAATTCTGTGATAGCCAGTTGACTTTCTTTGTAGCCTTCTTAGCTCTTCTGAAATGTCCTCTCCTCCACAGAGTCTGTCTGTCTTCAAGAAGCTGACCTAGGCTACACATTTTTTTGGATAGCCTTTTCCTTTTCATTCTGTGTTCTGGCATTGCCTGCCTCTGATTACAACCAAGCCAGTTTCTTGTTTTAATAGAAACCTTTTCAATGACAGAAAAGTACCCTCATTCATTCATTCATTAGTTCGTTCTTACTCTGTCTCTTTCTCTTATTGAGAGTTGGTGCTGCAATTTTAAAAGTGTTCTAAAGAGGGAAAAGAAATTTTCTGGTTTGTCAATGAATGACTGAGCTGCAGGAATATTGAGGTTATTAATTAGTACCTGACTGAATACAGTCCCAGCCGAACCCAGGCTGGTTAGTCCCCCATTATGTGCTCTCTCCATAGTGTCTCAATATTTTCTTTTAACTTATTCTTGTTATATGATTTACTTTTGTCTCCATGTGGTTGGGGCAGGGTGGGTCTCATCTACACTGCTCTATCTCCTGGGCTCCTACAAAGGAAAGAGAACTGTTGCTATTACGAGTTGCACTAAAGGAGGCAATGGTTTAGATGGTTTCTAAAGAAACCACGTGGGATTCCCATTCCAAGTTGGCCTTGCTAAAGTCAAATGACATATTTCATGTGACTGAGGCTGCCCTTCATTCCTTGGCTCAAGTCAACATGTTCTCTACGCAGCTGAATGTGAAAAATGGTAACAATTGAGGAGGAAGTGGTTCGAGAGTCCCTCTTTCAGGGAAGACCCCCCCCCACCCCTTGCTTCATGAGATGGTGCTTCATGCCTGGTTAGCACATCTCCTGCAGGGAGCGAGGACTGTAGGTGGCTGGAAAGGACACAGTGTGCTGGTGACAGTGTTCCTCTGTTCTCTCTCCTGCAGTGACCTGCAGAATTAGAACCTGTTGCCAAGGAACACATTGGAGGTGTGGAAGGGAGGAGAAGGGGAAAATGCAGGAATTTCCTCCCCGGGCAGACTGTAGCCACAGCTCTTTGAAGAGGCGGGCATGGTGGGGCAGAGGTGGGGGAGAGCTTCCTCCTGGGTCAGTCCTGGGCATGGAGGCCCCATCACTCTTTGGGGAGCAGGGACTTGTGACTCAGCTATGGTTCTGTGATTGCTGGAGGTGGGGCCTGTACTTTTTGTACCTGAAGAACACCCCTGTTTTTGTAAGATGGAGCCTGGGAATGGCAACCTTTGGGCATCTTAACTGTTTCGCAGAGTAAAATATTCAAGAACACAGTGATCCCAGTGAGCAGAGATGAAGGTGAGATATCTTGGCTTCCTGCTTTGGAAGGGTTGGCAGCTGCTTGTAAAACAGGCTGGGTAAGATTCACGTTCCAAACTACACAGGCCCTGGAGAAGAGAGGAAGAGGCTTTCCATTTAATTTTCCATTTTAGGTTGTGACAGATTTGTCGACCCATGGAGCTCGGGCTGGAGCGGCAGAGGCTGGGAGTGGGCTGGTGTGAAGAGCACGCAGCTGCCCCAGCATTTCAGGCTATGGGGAAGCGTGGGCTCCCATCCAGGGCTTAGACCAGAGTTCCATGTACAGTATTAGCACCGTTTATTTAGGGGAAATTTCAAACGGTGCTAACCCATCCTCGAAAATTCCTGGGCCTCCCCCTTACTATTTAAGCTGACTTCTGTCGTGCTAATTCTATTCAATCTAAATATTTTTGCCCAACAGATGCCGTGAAGGGAAGCTTGTGTCCCCACATGTCCAGGCAGCCTTCTTGGGCTGCCCGAGAGCGCCCTGCCTGCATTCTGTTTCTACTAGTTTTGATACATTGCAGGGGAAGAGAGTTTTCCTTTTGGAACTGCTTAGGAGAACAGGCAGGCTAACGACCATCAGAAGAATTTATTGGGCCCCTTCCAGTCTTTCTCTGTGGAGGCCAGGGCTCAGCGGAGCCTTCTCCCCACCCCACCACCGTTACTGTGTTATGCAGAGGAGAGGCCCACTTCATCCTATTTCAGGAAGTCCGAGTTCTTCCAACATAAATGTCTTTAGAAGTTTAATAATTCTGTCATGGAGAAATGCTGTCTAAGCTGGATGAGATTAACTGAATTCCCTAGGAATATCTTTTTCTTTTTTAAGTAAAATTCCCTACTCTTTGCATGTAAGATCATTGGCAGTACTTAGAAGCCAATGTCTGATTTTTCAAGTTTGCAATGTGAAAACCTAAACATGATGCCAGCTGTACTCATTTATCTTAAAGCAGCTTTTCAATTACTTGCTTTGAAAAGGAAAACTTTATGGAGAAGTAGCATTTAAAGGTATTTCCTCCATGACGGAGAAAACAGGTTTTCTTAGTGACACTCCCTTGAATGTCACTTGCTTTCAACTGTTATGAATGGAAATTGGAGACCGCATTAATCTCAGCTTAGAGAAAAACGAAGTCCAGGCCGACTTCGGCATATTGCAGGTTCGGTTCCAGACCGCTGCAATAAAGCAAATGCCACGATAAACCGAATCACATGACATTTCTGGTTTCCCAGTACATATAAAAGCTTTTGACACTGTACTCTGATCTATTAAGTGTGCAGTAGCATTATGTCTAAAAAAAAAGTACGTATCTTAATTAAAAAAGCACTTATTACTAAAAAATGTTGACCACCATCTGTGCCTTCAGCTATTTGTAGGGTTGTATGTAATCTTTTTGCTGGTGGAGGGTTTGAAATATTTCAGGAATTACCAAAATGTAACAGATACGAAGTGAGCAAATGCTGTTGGAAAAATGGCGCCAGTAGGCTTGGTTGATGCAGGGTTGCCCCAAACCTTCAATTTGGAAAAAAAAAAAACAAAACAATTTCTGCCACGTGCGATGAAACAGCGTATACCTCTATGCCTGTGCATTGGAATCTGTGTGAAAAACAATCTGATTAAGAAAACATCACTGAAAATAGTGAGCTTTAAAGCACTTTTGGATGTAAACATACTGTTGAGTTTTTGTTTATGTCCTTACCGTGATCAGTATTTTGTGTGTGTGTGTGTGTGTGTATTTGCTTCAAAGAAATGGGCTTTTTCTCTGTTGAGGAAGAAACAGGATAGATATTGGATGAGGAGAAACAAAGCTCACCTTTCCTGTCAAGATTTAAAATAAATCCTTCCTATCCATTAATGATGGACATGCCAGGAGAAGGGTTTACAGG